AGAAGATAGCGACAGAAGAACTTAAATTTAATTTCATCGCCAACTGCATTTGTTGCACTTAATTTTCTGCCGAAAACAAAATGTGAATAAGGAATATGCCGTATTACATTCAAATGAGTAATAGAAGCTTGTGGATGAGTAATGTGCAATCGACTATGAAATTTGTATAAGTTTCACAGCAGCTAAAAATATTATTTTAATGTTCCTCAAATTATACTTTCTTACGTTGCCACAAAGGTGTCGATAATACTTGAAGCGACGAATCAAATCGTGAGCGCTATTGTTTTACAAACAGCTTCGACATACATACATACGTATGCGGCTGCGGGTCAAATTAATATTGATGAGTGGAGGGCGTCGGCCGCCGCGCTGTCGCCTTGTCCGCGCGATCGCTGCCTGCTGTCTGCCGTCCACTGATACTACGAGATATGAGTATGTGCTTTTATCTACCAGGCAATTAGCACGACAGATAGTTTACCTGGCCGCCTGGATGCTTAGACGCCTTGACGCCTTGACGCCAGGCTCTCTGGACTACATCTGTAGGTAAGAGAAAGCAAATCCCAGTCACTGAGAGGACGTGCCATTGGACGCAACGTGTTTGTGTCTGATTAACATTTTGTTATGGTGTCATCACGTATAAAAAGGGAAATGTTATTTTTTTGTTGTCAAAATGTAAACTTAATCATAAAAAAATTAGAGTCAATGTTTAATGTGTAAGTTCAGGGTTCAAGGAATAAAATGACATTTACAATATCTCGAATATTCGCCACAGTGTTCCAAGATCCCTGAGATATTACTATCTACATATTTTAATTTCATACATAACGTAATTATTATTCAACACGTGTGAATGCCCTATTGTGCAGGGTCGAGGGCCGAGTAGCGCCGGGTGCCGGGTGCCGGGCGCCGGGAGTGCCCGCGCGGTGCGGTTCACGGGCGCGGCGGCTAACGTGTCGCGTGTCGCGGTTTTATATTAATTAGGTCCTCGCAAATTAATTAACCGTAATTTTATTCGCTACCTAGTTATTACATTAGGATATTTCGAAACCGCGCCCACGACAACTACCGTAATATAGACACAACAACATAATCATTAATAAAGCATCACAAATACAGCTCAAGCTGGGCTACAATTCCTGTTTCTGCAATTGAATGAATTAGTTATTTATTACGAACAATAAAACACAAAGTGATGAGCTCGACGTCGAGGTTGCATTTGCCTTTAATTAGAGTTCAACGCGTATGTCGTCTGCCGACCCTTGCGGCCCGCAGCCCTGGATCGCCCCGTGCCGGTCACCAGCCCCGGACACCACAAGGCCCAAATTTAAGTCTCTTTTCGTATGCTAGGAATTAAAGGTTTTCAATCATTTTATGTATTACAAGAATCTATACGTACTACTATTCAATTATGTACTTTACTTACTATTCTAATATTCTCTTAGAATTAAAACTTTTGTCGTTTAACTATTACATTTAATGTTAGAAGATTGTTGAATTGGTATTTTGTTAAATGTTATAAACCATTATTATGGTTAAATGACAAAAAGCTGGGTCGTCTTCGACGTAACTACAGGTGGGGCGGCACCGAGGGGCGGCGGGCTACAGGTGGCAGCCCGCTGCCGCGTCCCCCGTCCCCAGCGCCCCCCGCACCCTAAGCCGCCCACCGACTGTCACCTACTCTAACCTCATTTCGAATAATTCATGAAAAAGCTTTTATGTTGAGTTGTAGTTTGTTTGACTAAATACCTCAGCCCGGCCTCGCCTCGCCCTTTCTTCCTCCCATGGAATATTGTTAGCTCGCAATAGTGTTTTTTTAGACTCATTTACTCAAGACAAGTATAAAAGTAGCAGAAGCATCTTGCGAGGTATTCTAGCGTGTTGTTCGCGTACGGGATCTTTAAATTCTTCAAATAAAAGGAAGTGGCTGATATTTAGGAGCTCCGGCTCAGGAATGTGAGCAATATTTAATATGTGCCCGAACCAATGCCTTGAGATGACGAAATGTGGTTCGCTTTGGTCGCCAACAGTGCACAAGCATACGTGATAATTATATACCATATTTCTGTTTCCTCCACACGCTATTCATGTGAGAAAAAGACAGGATAAGGAAGTAGATTAGGATAGACAGAGGAGGGGACATACAGACAAAAGAAGGGGGAATATTCTCTTTCCTCTCTTCTCCTCGGTCTATTAAAGGTAGCGGACGTATCTGCAATTGCGGCTGTCTATGGACAGCGGTCGCTTCCCTATTACGTTCAATTAGCTCGTTTATAATCTTATGACAAAACAATATACTATAGAGATATAAGTAGAATACTTTCACCTATGAATAAATTCAAGATGATCGCCTCTACAAAATGGCGAATGACATATTTTGTACAACAACGTCAATGTATCACAGGTATCAAATGATTGGGATTTTAACAGTGGTAGAGCCTGCTTTAACACCTCGCACTTGCCCGGTGTAATACCACGACCACACAGATAACAGGCGTGAAGTGGAAGCAATTCTGCGTTTCGTCTGATGAGTGTGGTGCCGGAGGCCTAATTTTAGTCCTTTTCCCTTTACACACTTTTCTTAAGAGGAAAGGATGGGAAGGAAAAGTTGATTTGACGGTGAAGGAGACGCATAGGAAGGGGAAATGTCCTGTTTATGTGCGTCTCCTCCTCCGTCAATGAAGGGTAGGCAACGCATCTACAATTGCGGATGTTTATGGGCAGCGGTCGCTTTCCATTTAGGTGGATTCAGTTGGCCGCTTGCCGCCGTATATTATAAAAAAAAAACTAAGAAGTTCCTGCCATGAATAAAACTAAATCAAAATGAAAACTTAAAAAGCAAATGTTCGTAGCGACAAAATAATGTCGCCTAGTTTGATACTAGAGGTTTCCCTTTAATAACTTAAGACTATAACTGTTTAATGAATTCGATTGAAGTTTAAATCTGCGTTTACGTCTTAGGACCTATATCTTGGTACGTTTTGTCAAAAAAAGAGATATCGCGATCGAGAATCGAGTGCGACTAGAGAATGAATGAAATGCTAGATACCGAGCGCAGCGACAGGTGCTGGCCTGTGCCCTCGCCCGCTCCCTCGCCCTCGCTCTGCCCCCGCTCTCACCCACGCCCGCACCTACTCCATTTACTGATTTATTGTTCATTAATTTTTTCTGTACTCGTGCCTTTTCAACGATTTCATATTTAATAAGTTATTTGCAACTGTATTGCATAATGCGCCGTTTAAAAGAACTAGAATACGATTCCGTGAGAGAATAAATATTGTTTACTGCGACGCAACACTGCGCACGTCCTCCAAATTATTCCCAAAGAAAACATTTCGTAGTTATAAGATTTTTCTTGTAAGATTAGTTAATTTACATTGCTAACAGGTTTTTTTTGTCAAAGTGTATTGGGAGTCAGGTTTGGTGTTCGATGGCGGCACACTTGTCACATATCTGACTGCGCCGCTACGAGGTAGGTATAACATAGTATTAATGGCGGAGGCGGAGGCGGAGGCAAACATGTGCAG